ACAACCAACATGTCTTACATACAACCAACATGTCTTACATACAACCAACATGTCTTACATACAACCAACATGTCTTACATACAACCAACATGTCTTACATACAACCAACATGTCTTACATACAACCAACATGTCTTACATACAACCAACATGTCTTACATACAACCAACATGTCTTACATACAACCAACATGTCTTACATACAACCAACATGTCTTACATACAACCAACATGTCTTACATACAACCAACATGTCTTACACGTACCTTGGCAGGTTGGCCTAGAGGTTTCTATGGTGTCACTTTTAACAACTGGCGAATACTTTTCCTGTGAAGAAATTATTGAAAATGTCTTTGTGCATTATTCAAATCACCTTGTTGGCATATGAATAACAAAGGCTTATTCCAGTTAATGCCCCTCAATAGAGTACAAACACTAAAACTGTGCAACATAAATACCACTAAATACTCTATTGTTTTCTATTGTTTAATCAGCACTGTTTAGTAGTAAACAGTGCAAAGTGTTGCACACATTTAGTGTTTGTACTCTAAGATCAAATGGTTTACAAGTCTTGACTTACCAGTAATTCTACTTTACTTCTCAGTACATTTGTCATAGTTTGTGTAATCTTAGGTGGATAGGTCTTGTGTTTGCTGGTTGTATCTCTGATTAAGTCTTCTAAAGACATCCACATGTTGTTGACTTCTTTTAATCGTTCTTTATTGACAGGCTCTAAGGTACATTTATGGAAATTTCATCAGTAAGAAGTTCTCTGTTATATATTACTATGTGACCAATCCCGACAAAATGTTGCAGAATGCTATGAGCAATATTCTGCTGTCAATCAACCCAAAAGCATTTTACTGCAAGTTGGTTTAAAAGTAACAATTAGAGGTTTGATGACAGCATTTAATGACAGTATATTAATAGCAAAATTTTTGCTATTTATACATGTACACAGTGACTTTTTTCGGTGCTGGTCTCATTGCAATGCATGCATAAATCATGGCAATTTGATAATAAAATTATTTATTATTTTATATGCACATATGTCAATCTGACCTTGAACTGGTTTTGCTGTTGTTTGTGTTGTGTTCAGTTCATCTACCCATTCTTTTCCATTCACAGAAACATTAGATTTAACACTCTCCTGGATTACATCCTTATACAGCTGTTAAATGCAAACAAAATTTCAATCTTACATATACTTTTAATCTTAACAAGATATTTTATATTCATAATTCAATTTAATCTAATCATAACCTTACTTTTAGCTTTCATAACCCTATACGCCAATATTATAATTACTTTATAAGTTATGTGGTCAGTGGACCTTCAAAATGAAGGTGATGACAAGCTATAAGAAAAGTGAAGCTTTATAAAGTACGCTGATGACATTTACTTTCTTAGTTCTTTTGCTTTTCCTTTCAAACTAAATGCTCAAATTTACTACACTCTATAATATAATACAACTTCAAGGTGGTTAAGTGTAATCAAGACGATTTAACAATTTTCAAAAAAGATCAAATCGTGAAATCGTAACGAACATCAACAAAACAAATCTGCGTTCAACAACGCCACGTAACACACCTCGTTTAGACTTTTCTCGAAAGCTTCTGTCTTCTCAACACTCCATGACTTTGCCTTTGCAATCTGACTTAATTCTTTCTTCAATTTCTGGTGAATACTTTGCACAATTTTCTGATTTTCCACCCAAACTTTAGAATCTTCCGCCATCTTGGAATTTTCCCGCTTTTTGAGATGCGCATGTGCAATGTTTTCCAGCCCTCAGTGCATTGTGGGAATGATTCAAAATGGCGACGGTAAGTGCTATACAACTTCACTTGGTTCATAGATTTTATTTAAAATATATTGATTTATTGTGTTTTAAAAGGGTTCATTAGCCTTTATTGCTGATTACGACGATGATGATACAGAGCCAGACGATGAAACGTAAGGAATTTATTGTAAAATGTTACAATGAAATCGTTTTGATAGCACCATGTTTTAGCAGTTCACATATCCAAACCCACATGCATAAAGCGTTACATTAAGTTTAATCATCTCAACTTAAGCATTATAAGTACTGCATAGATCAATAAGCTGCAATTGTTTAAGTTGAAGCATTGAAACTTTATCTATGATAACATCTCACATGTAGTTGGTGTTAGATGCTCCAGGAGGAGTGGTCACCTGTCCCTCATATCTGATTAAGGGGGTAGGGGAACTTTTAGTTTAATAAGTACATGCACAGATAACTCTAGTTACTATTACACTTAACATTTAATTAAATGGGAAATATACCCGTTCACTTGTAAAAGCAGAAATTTGTTCATCAAATGATTTTTTCTGTGTGTAAAATATACAGCGTTCATAACATTTTTTGATTTCTTGGTATATTAGAAATGCTGATTGGAATATTAAAGGAACACATCTTAGAGGAAGGTTTACCATCTCACAGGATGGCCAGTGTCCAAGATGTGGAACAAGCAATGTTGTATTTGTAGTACTTGATGAGTAAGTGGTCTATGATAGCTCTGATATCTGAGTTCATTTTTGGTACTTTAGATTAGAGACTGAAAAAGAGTCTTTAAAATAGTTAATATCAGAAAGGATATTATTTTCATAATTATATGTTAATTATTATCAATAACTAGGTATATCATGTAGGATTGCTGATATTGCAAGATATTGCTCCTTCAATTTGGTTGAGTTCATTGATGATAATCCAGTCCTAAATGTCTTGTTTTCAATTTTAGCATTTGAATTCCTTTGCTTATATACATGTTAAATTGATGGTCATTTGGACTACATTAGTTTGTATTTTTATTATTGTAATAATGACATTGCATGGTGTGTAGCTGATATATGTAATATTGTATGATGTCTATACTAGGTTATTTCCAATGGGTGACATGCCTGATATATTGGTAACACTTATAGCAAAGGGCAAAGCTGTGTTATGGTCCAGTCAAAGCAAGAAAGGTTGTAAGGTAAACAGTGGTTCTGATACACATGTGATATGTAACATATTGTATGATATGGGGTATACATTACAAATAAGTAAGTAAGGTACTCAATGTTCAGCACCCTTGCGTTGTTGTGTTGTGTACTGTTGTTGTTTGGATGACATCTTTTTTCCTCCATGGTTTACCACAAGATTACTACAAGTAAGTATTATATTTTCAACTTATATTTACATTCAGTTTTCGTCAAAACCTACAAAGAAAGTAAGAATTTTGCAATTGTGATTGCGTTTGTTTCAACCTAATATTAAACATCAGATTATGAAGGTTTCAATTAATATTTATATAATGTATAATGTATGTATTTACAGATATATTACAAGATATTTTATGTCTATAACTTGTTTTATTTTACAGGCCCCTCCCACTTTTTTATGTCGAGGTTTTTGTCCACCTGACCCTCTTGGAGCAGGGTTCAATGTGAATTGGGGCAATGTGTCTTTGCAAGATCTCTTTTTTTCCTCAAAACAGGATGACAAAACAGTAAGTAGTGACCAGTAGTTAGTATATATCATTTTGTTATATTATTCATATTATTATGAATTATAAACTGATGATAATAATAATAATTGCTAATAAGTTACTGACTGACTTGTCCTTATTTAATCTCATTAAGGTTGGATCTACTGACCAGCAAGGTAAAAATGAATGAAATGATGTATTTTATATTCATGCACATAGAAATTGCTCATCTCTTTCTTTAACATCAGACATTTTAGACAAACATTTTAGATAAAAAATTATATTAAAATATGGCAATGGTTTTTAGGTTCACAACAACAAAAGAGACACTGTCTTTTTAATACCAAAATATAAGGTCTCGAGTAGACATATTTATAAGCAAAAGTGTTATCCACACAATCATCTAAAAATCATCTTTTATCACAGATTCATTCATATCTTTACACAATGAAGTCTAATTTATGATATAGAAATGTAGTTATATTAGTTTGTGGTGAATTGTTCAAGTACACGCTGCAGTGAGTATTGTGTCATTGTTATTTTCCTAGATCAATTATTAACCAACTACTTATTTAGGAGAATCCAATGAGGATGATGAGAACAGCAGCGAAGAAGATGATGAGTTAGATGAAGAAGAACTTATAAAACAAATGCTTGAAAAAGAGGCTCAAAAAATACAAGAACATGAAGAAGATGCTGAAGACAAACCACATGATGAAAACGACACCAATGATAGCAAACAACAAAGCACTAAATCTCAGGAAATTCCCGATCACCTAAGAACAACACATACTGTTTACTCTACTGCTGCTTATACTGGCCATGAAAGATCAACGTCAAGTACATCAGTACATCCTGTCGCTGAAACACATGAGAAGAGTTCTCTTTATCCTGTATCCAGTGATGGTTTCTGTCCCCATTGCTATTCAAGAAATGTTAAATACATTATTGTTTTTGATGAAGGCATGAAAGACAATGAGCTACCTTATACACTTCGCGAACTTCTTAAACGAGATCAAGCTTTCAAGATGGCAAAAGGTACTTCAGTATGCTGTAGTCCTAAGTTATTGTAATATATATTCTATTGCTTCTTCATTTTGATTTGAAAGGCAAATATGATAAAACTTAATGTTGTACATAGCATAAAGAGTAACCTTAGTGTACTGTTCAATGACTTGCTGTCAGCCTACTACTGTAAACACACAAATAACATTATGTACATAATTAAGCAAGATATTAAGTGCTTTGTTATCAATTTATTGAATTCATTTTTCTTCTCTTTCAGGTATTGTGCTGAGAAGCCATGCTTTATTGTCAAAGTGATAAGCTTCTTCGTTCTCTAGTTGTTGTTGGTTGAATGTTCCTAATATCACAGCATTTATTTCTCAACAATGTCCAAAATTTTATTCTTGTCAGAGTGTGGAGTTAAAAGTTCGCAGTTATCTCCTCTGTATGCTACAAATATGTCATGTTTCTGTAACTGTTTAATGACTTGACAAAATTAATTAATGTTTGATTTCATTTGCATTGTTAAATGCAACAAGACAACACAGAGAATGATCTGAATGACGTCACATTGCCTGATTGTTTTGAATGTGTTGTAATAACCATATATTTTGTAAGAGTATCTTGACGTGCACATGCAGAGACTTAGAGAAAACAATTCACTGATGTTTAATCGCCTCAGCTATTTACGCAAATCAAATTATCTACCTATGAACTAAATTCCTGTTCCAATGTAGGAAAAATAATTGTTCTTATGAGGTTTTTATTGTTTTATGTGCCGCTGGGCTACTTTGTTTGGACCAAATTTAATTGCTTATTCAAATATCAATATTATTTTGATCCTTATAAATTTGTCTTGGAGATATATATCTTAAAAAATTGGTTTTCATTACAATGAAAATGTAAGAAAATAAAAAAATTACTTTGCCTTTGGGCTCTTAGACAACAAAGGCAATGTCATTGTTCCTTTGTCCATCATATTTTGTATACCAGGTCTTGTGCATATGTTAATGACAAATACTGATACTATAGTTTTCTTTGTGTGTTCTTTGTTTTCTGCGTATTTTTCTGCTGGAATAATAGTAAAACCAGGCCAGTAATATTGAAGTAAGCATCTATTAAGAACAAGGCTGCACTAGGAAGGATGACTTAAATGCTAAAATCATTTTTATTATCTTGACAGGACCCAATGAACCACCTTCATTTCAATGTCAGGTTTGCCATTATGGGTTCAATCTAGACTGGTCAACCACTAACCTTGAACTCATCTTTGGCATTGCTAAAGGAGGCGCTACCTTGCAACCTGAGGCAAATACACCAAGACTACCTCCTCCTTCAGTTCCACCAAGGCATCCACCCCCCTTTCCACCACCTGGTGTACGTCCTCCTGGAATGGGGATGCCTCCTCCTCAGATCCCACCCCCTAGGCCACCTCCACCTGTTGTCATCAGACCACCACCTCGAGCTGCAATGATTCCACCAAGAGTGCCACCACCAGGAATACCACCAACAGCAGGTATGCCACCACCAAGAATTCCACCACCAGGCACACCACCCTCACCAGGAATGCCACCAACAGCAGGTATGCCACCACCAAGAATTCCACCACCAGGCACACCACCCTCACCAGGAATGCCACCAACAGCAGGTATGCCACCACCTAGGGTGCCACCTCCAAGAATGCCTCCTCCAGGAATGGTTCCTCCTGAAATGCCGCCACCAAGGATCCCACCTCCAGGCATCCCACCAACCAGGGTGCCACTACATGGTTCATATCCCCCTGTACCTTATGCAACTCCACACAGAGTTCCACCACCAATGTATGGTCCACCAAGAGTACCTCCACCTAGGGTACCATATCACAGATATCCACCGCCTGGACCTGTACCACCATATGGAGGGGTACCTCCACCAAGGTACCCGCCACCTCCTGGTTACCAACCTTACCACAGACCCCCTGGTCCTCCTATGTATCCCAGGTACGTATATTAATAACGTATTTTAATAGTTATTGGAAACATTTGTTATGTGTGCTTCTACATCCAGGTACCCAGCATATGGTTACCCTCACTACCCACCAGCTATGCCACCACAGCCATATGGACAACACCACTACCCCCACCATCCACATCCACCCCCCTACCCTCCATATGCTGAACACTACCCTCCAACATCAGTACCAGCACCACCAGGAACACAGCCAACAAGACCTTATAAACCACCAACATATGAACAACCTACTGAATCATCTGTCACAACATCCACTGTGACAACACCCACGACTTCTGATGACACACCAGGTACTAATGAGACTTCCTACGTGGATGAAGAACAGTCATTACAGGACAAGCAAAAACTGGATGAATTGCTCAATCAGATTGATAGAAATCGAGGTGTTACTGCTGATCAGGACGAGGACATGAGTGGTGAGGAACCCAATTTATTCAGCGAGGAGCAGGCTGAAGTGGAGTGTGATGATCAACCACCAGGCGATGACGTCATGCACCTTGAAGGTGAGTTTTAAGACACTGTTACTAATTACATTCTGCCAATTAAAATTGTTGGACACTAAAATGCCTTAGCAGTCCCTGATGATATCATGATATTTATACATTATTTGTTTCTATTTGATTCTTGAAATGTTTTATCCTGAGTTTATGGAAACCCTGAAGTAACGTTGTTTTGCTACTTTCTCATCCCAATTCATGTCGATAGAATTCTATCCTTGAATTTCAAATGTTAAAGCAGTCTTTTGAAGTATATCATTTCTTAATGTGATTGTATTATATGATTTTGGTATTTTACAGGTCTCGAACAACCAGAGCCATACCAAGAAAACGTTTCCGCTAAAGACTCGGCTGCTATTCACGAGGAGAGTGATCCTAACGAAAGTCAAGTTGTGAAAGCTAATCAGAGTGTAACAGACTCTGCTGAACAAAATACAAGTAAAAACGAAGAAAATGACATTTTCAAAGCTGACAAAGTTGCTACTAGTGAAACTGACGGGTCTAACAGTGGTGTTGATGTTGAGAGTGCTGTAACACCCAAGACAAGAAGAGGTCGTAAGCGAAAGGCTGCACCGTTAAAGACACAAGAAGGCAGTCAAGATAATGATGAAGAAACAAAACATCACAAGGTCGATAGTTCATTAGACGATAGTCAAGACGAACCTACCCTTGAGGTGGACATCAAAACAACGGTGAAGCGTGGAAGACGAGGACGAAAACCAAGAGGAGGTAAAGCTGCGGTATCTACAAGGAAAGATGCCGTGGTAGAATCACCATCTTGTGAAGTAACCATGTCATCTCCAACAAACGAAACATTACAAGATGAAAACATGACAAGTCCTGACGTGTCAACTGAGCAATATGATTCCGCAGCAGATTCAAGTTCTGGACATAAGTTATTGATTGACAATGATAAGAATTCAACCATTACTAAAGAAGAGCAGGATCAACAGGATGTGGAAACAAACCCAGATAAAACCATGGACCTTGCTGAAGAACCAGAGCAACCATTGAAAAGAAAGCCAAGAGGTCGATCTCGGAGGTCGTCTGACAAAGACGTACAATTGACTATTGATGCTGAAAAGTCGCATCCAGAAGATAAAATGGAGCAAGATTCGATTGGAAAGACGGAATTGCCTGAGGAAGAGCCTTCAATGAATGCTGCCCAGCAATCTGGAAATGAGACAGAAAGCGGAATTGACTCGTCAAAGCAAGAAACTAAACCAGGTAGAAAACGAAGGGGTCGACCCTCGCTGAAAGGCAAAACGGACGACCAGCAATTGGAACCACAAACATCACAGCCATCAAATGAAGATACAGATACGGTTAATACTGTGAAACGAGGTGGAAGAACACAGAAAGGAGTAACTGGTAACGCTACTTCACCTAATGATAATCAGACGTCTGAAGGTGAAATAAAAAGCAATGAACAAACAGAAACACATACTACTCGAAAACGAAGAGGAAGATCGCAGGAAGCATTGGATGAGAAACCAGCTACTGACACCGAGCTGAAAGAAGACGACACAGTTGAGGAATCTAATGATACAGCTGATACTGTAAAAAGAAAAGGACGATCAGCACAGAGAGGAAATACTAACAAAGCAAGTAAAACTACTGACGAACACTTGTCTGAAGGCGAATCAGAAGCAATGGAGTCATCTAGGGAACCTATTAGTACTGGAAAACGAAAAGGACGTCAAAAGAAGGTATTGATGAGTCCAACTAGTGACGAACCAAAGATAATAACGACAACAGATGAAGATGAAATCACTGAACAATCGTCTAGATCGACGAGAGGAACAGTGAAAAACCAAACAAAACCAACTACAGCTGGTAAAAGGATAACTAGAGGTAGAAAGATATCGGATGTCGATAACGAAGAAGAACCAACAAATATCGGTGAGGAAAGCTCAGATAATAATGTAAAACGTACCAGACGATCATTGTCCAACCCTAGCGATGCCAGTCCTTTAGCAAACTCTGAACTCTCATCAGAAACTGAATCAAATAAAACACCAAAAGCTGCATCTCGTGGACGATCTTTACGTAAACGTAACTAGACGCTACGGAAAAACAGTTAATTACGTACGTAATCTACAGTTTATGGTGAACTTCTTCCAAACATTTAGTTAAACAAGTAATGGAAAATTGCAACACAAGGGCTGTCACTACGTGAACGTTAGACCCTAGTCGGTCGTATGTACATATCTTTTATCTGGTGGTTAATTTTCGTGAATTGTTATTGTTAAGCTAAATGACACTTTTATTAAGAGAAGATAATTCCATTGTTTATGTTGTGTACCTTTTGTAAATTAAATCAATTTGTACAATTTAGTTTGGCTTAATTTCACAATAATTCACGAAAAGTTTCAGTAGTTAATTTTTTTAAATATAAATCTATCTAACGATGTTGCGTTCATAAAAAAGCTAAATCCAAAAAGAACAAAAGTTCACTGAGTTCTAGATATTTCACAGTAGATCTCCTATCGATGAGAGGTTGAGGTAACTAGTCCCGTTTCTACACATTCCCGACATCTACATAACGGTTCTGTTGTTGATAGATCGTTGTTTGAAGACGACACGTTGACAACCGTTGTGGATTCTGTATTTCCAGGTCGGCTGTCTTCAGTTTCAAGAGGTGGAGTGTTACGGCTTTTCTCTCTGCATTCATAGCACTGACATTCGGGAATCGATGGAGTTGGGCTGCCTGTTGTATTCTCTGGTGGGCTGTCGGTACAATTATCAGGCGGTCTGTTTCCAGGGAGGGTGTCTGTTGTGTTGGGTGGACCGTCTTCTCTGTCTGGTGATGTGACGTGTCGAGTTGCTCCAGCAGGATGTGTTTCTGCTTCAGAGTGTTCACAAGTATCGTTACGATACGTCGTCATTACGGTGTTGCTTTCGATGTCTTTTACTCTGTTGAGTGGAAGAGATCATTACTTATTGTAACTATTTATTTCCTATTTGTATACATTTGTTAGTTTCTTCTTGGTATGTTTTATTCCTTTGTTTTTGTTTTTATTGCATAATCTGTTGCTTGCATAATCTGTTGCTCTATGTTAAGTAACTACAAACAAACAAAGTTCTAACTTTACCTTGATCCTATCTTGCACAATTTCATACATAATAACAGAAGAATAACGAGGAATATAAGGAGTAGAATGACTAGTAATACCAAGATTGTAATGGCTATTGGTATTGCATCACGAATCTCTTCAGGTTCAGCGTAATGGTCTGTTGTATTTGATGTACCTACAGAAACAGTACACAAGATTTTCAGAAATATGTAGAAAAAACCACCTGATGATACTAAAATGAATAACACTCTTGAAACTTCGAATACCACGTGTGCTGTAGTAAGGCTTATATTCCAGTCTTGTTTGAGCTCAATATTATCTCATTTGAATTGACTTCAGCACATGTGGAATTCGACGTTTGTGTGAAACAGGCCAGTGGAGTGCTAATTCCATCATTATTTAATTCCCGTCATTCAGTAGCTCTAAATAAATCCGTGATACGTATGGTGATCGCACACTCGATTGCTATAAGTTTTTTTTCCTTTTTTTCGTGTGGATTATGTGAATTCACCCGTTATTGGTTACATAAGTTTTGCTGCTTCCACCGATTAAGTTGCGTCCTGTAAGCGCAGGTTGTTTGTATCGAGAGCTAGTTGTGAATCGTCTTACCCTTCACTATTGTACTCGCTGTCAATAGGATACCAAACACTGTCAAATGAATCGAGTCCATCTTTTTACCCTGAAAATCAATGAAAACAATTTAAAATGGTACAAGCACGCATTAGTGCGGCCTTAAAATACGCTTACCTTGTTGCTGTTATTAAACTTATATATCAACTATCTACAATGATAATCTGGGTCGACGTTTTCGAGCTCGCGCGTCTTGACATTAAAAAACGTTTGCACAAACATACAAACGTGTGCACCTAAACCCGTATGCTAACGAGTAACCAACCCCTGCTGTGTACCTGAACGAATCATGCGGTTTTCTAGAATTTTATTTCGCTTTGTTTATATGTGGTTGTCATGGATATAGGCCTTTGTAGTTTTTGATTCTTGAGAAGTCTGATTCAAAGACACGGGATAATAATCGCTATAGTTTATCGTTAAGACATAACATGAAGTCAGAATTTCATTTCCATTTTTTTATTGTCAATATCATAGTTCTATATTGTCAGCTTTTTATTCACACGCTTACCGTGCATCACTCATAAGTCAAAAAAGGATTTTATTTTGTCATTTTGTGTATCATCTTTGCATTTTAGTCCTAGTTTTACAATGTAGATACACCATGGACAAAGACACTAAATTACACCTTCAACAACATCAGTGGTGCGGGTTGTCTGAGAAAGTTCAGTTTAAGAGTATTTTTACTTCGTGTACTTCTGAACAGAGTTAGTAGAGGAGACTGAAGAAGTCTTTGGAGTTACATAATAAAATAAAATGGCTTAAACCAAGTTCATTCAGGTTCGGTTTGACAAGCTTTGTCCTTCATTTCAGGACGGCTCGTGTTTTCAGGAGCAACTCGTGGACTTGATTTCCGTCTGTTTTCACCAAAACAATCATCGTCTGAACTGTTCGTAAGAACAATAAGAACGAGATAAATATACAGGTTATATTAGATTGACCTAGTAACTTGGTAACTTTTAAATCATCAATGAAAGACCTTTCAGTATAGTTTTCTAGCTTGTTATTGTATTAATGTRAGATTCACCTTATAGTGGCTGCTTTGTTGATGTACTGCTTGCATATACAGATAAGAATGATAATAACAATCACCCAAATGATAAAAAGAACAAGTATCGCAATACAGAGTGCCTCAAGTGTGCTGTAATCTGTGTTAATAGCTGAAGCAAATAATAATACTTCATTACTAAATGTAACATTCATTTATCGTAACATTGACACATTTGAAATCTGAGTTACAGACACTGATTGCAGACGATGTCACGCGATATCAAGTCAAGCCTACCTTTAACACACGGTATCGTTAAGTAGAGAAATAATAATGTTATCCACGCATGGAACTCCATGTCACAATCCCTTTACGATGAGATCAATGAAGTGGTGTCAGTACATACAGTCAGATTCCTCCAAAAGTCGAAGAGAGAAGTGGCGTAAAGCAAAGTGAAATGAGCCTTGTTTGCAAATGAAGATCACGCATGAACCTCTTTTAAGAATTATTAGAAATGAAAATGCCGGGCAGGTACTTTCTCGATACTTTCATTAGTTTTTTTTCCAGTTTGTGTGATGTTAGTGATCAGCCGTTGTCTACAGTAGATTTTAATAATTCAAATATCGCGACATCATGCTGTGATGTTCTACAATAATTTCCATATTACACAAAACAAATTAGTCATGTATTGACCATGAAGTGGAACAAGAAAGAGCGATCATATATGGCAGACGTATTTTAATTTGTTAAAAGATAACATCACTCACAGAATCGCTACATCTGGTTGTCGCAGTTGTAGAGTTTCGATAGATATTGAGAAAAACTTCATTTGCCATGGTAACATCGTTTTTTGTTTTGTTTTGCAAGCTATCTAATAACCCATGCAGGGTTTTCAAAAAAAGCGAAAGTTCCAGACGCATCGCCGGTTGTTGAACGATTTCTATTGAGCCAAGGACATCTTTCGTATCAATTCATTCTTTAACAGTTTTTGTTCGAGAACATGCTGTACAAATAGAACCTTTTGGAAACTAATGTTGTCGTCTAAATATTTGTCTTAGTTTCCATGCCTTTTTTAAAGGTACATCAAGGAACCTTTGCGCTATTTTCTGAGATATGAAAATTCACAATGGTTTTGAACCCATCAGAAAGCACCTTTCAACAACGAACCATCTGTCAAATAAAAGCAAATATCACAAGGGTTCATGGATGGAAAGGGCCCTTTACGGTGTCTTGGAAGTTTAAATGAAAACAAGAAATACAATATTATTGTGACAGTTTCAATTGTTTATTATACATCTTATCCTAAAAATATTTACAATAAATAAACTTTTTCTGTCAGTCATGGTCTTCTGCAGTGTCTCCTGGACAATTGCTACTTAAGTCAGTATCATCTGAAACACAATCAACACCGTGCATTAGCTCTATGAAAAACAGGTTATTTCTAGTCCACAAAACCACTTTAGCATAAAAAATTCACATACAATTTGTTTGTCTGGGATCCCTGTGTTGTCAATCTTGCAACTGGAAAGGTTGTAAATGATTAAGAAAGAAGTCTCACCATTGTATGTCGTCCCACACCATATGCAATACAGATGTTCACTTCTTAAATATTGTGTAAGTTGAATTAACTTATCATAGGGCTGAAAGAAATATAAACAAAATCATGTTTGTTAGATTCAATTGCAGAGATATTTAAATTTATATCATGTCGACTATTCAGAAGTTTGAGGAAAATTTCACTACAGGGTTTTAATTAGTTAAATTTGTGTTTATGGTGTGTAACTGGAAGGCAAGCTCTATACCTCTAAAGTAATACAGTCTACATCACCAGTGTTGTTGTCTTCTTCCTCTTCTTCTTCTTCTTTAGGAACTTCTGGCCAAAACCAGATTTGAATGCAGGACAAACCCTATGGAACACAAATAACTTAAAATGACTGATTCCACACCAGAAAAGACTCCACATTTTGAGAAAACACTATGTAATATCACTAATAAAAGTTCAGGAACTACATAATCACATGTAATTATCAATAAATTTATTGTACTTCTGGACCATATATTCATTGACAGTTTCTCTTACCTTTGCTTTATCCAGTTGTTCACATGCTTTCTGACTTTTATACAAGTCACTCTGGACCTTTTTATCAACAAATTTGTTGCTCATATGTTTTCTAAAGTCTTCTCTGAGTCTCTGTTCAACTTTAATTTTCTTCTTTGTTTTTTCTTCAAGAATTGTCTTTTTTATATCATTTTGTCGTTTTAGGTGGTTATCTCTGCCTAATCCACCTCGGTCTGGCATAGGAAGAAATTGTTTTTCAATTTTGAAGTAATTGAAGAAATGAATGCATGGGAATGAAAAAAAGTTAATGATTACTTTCAAAAAACATTAAAATTCACACAACAGAATTCAATTTCATTTCTTACCAGCTTTGAGCGATATAGGTATTGGTTCTGCTCTACCAGTTCCTGAAAGAGATACAACTTAAAGTTTTAGGAGGAATGTCAGTGCTTTTAAAAGATTTCCACATGAATGTATAACACGACTCCAATATTCAATCAAAGATAAGCAGCCAACAATAACAGCTTTCATACCTTCCTTTCCTAGACCTGTTCCTTGTTTATAGCCCATCTTCTGCAGCAAAGCAAAACCGATGTTTGAACTGTCCAAGGCTTTCGCCATTCCTTCTTCTCGGTTCTCTTGCTCGCGTTGTTTCATTGGTTTGACTTTGTTGCGCTCTTTGTCTTGTTCATGTTTTGCTTCTACTTTACCTTTCCTTGCTAGACGATCTACTTTAGGTAAACCGGGAGTGACATCGTTAGATTGTGAAACAAAAATATCTGACATGTAATCATCTTCTTCATCGTCCGACATCTTGAATTTTTACCGCTGACTATAAACACAGGCAACCCAGTATGAATCGTGAATGAGTTATTTTCTTTAAAATTAATAATACTGATGATAGCAAATTCTACGTAATTATGTTTATCTACGATCCAAGCACTAATATAAAAAGTCTATATTGTGGTTCAGCGTTTCTTTTAACTTTTTATCAACTGTTGTCTTTACTCATTTGTTTTGGGATCCCTGTGTGTAATACTAGGATCACTCAAGCATCCAATCACAGAGACAGGGATGTATTTGTTTTGTATAAAGATCTTTTCATAAAAATATTTAATTACAATCATTACACGAACTATATGAGCGTTGCTTTACCTAGAAGAAGCATTATTGCACTTTGTTTTACATGATGATTGTGTTTGTAGACAATCCTCACAGCGAATTTCCTGCGTTGAAAAATCACAGCGTTATGTTTCATCCTCACTTGTCTAGCTGACCTTTGGAACTGATTTAAGCTTATATTCTTCAACTCGGATTTGAACCATTATAAGTACTATAGAAAGAATAAGGTAAGTTTAACACTTGATATATTATTAATACTAGAATCAGTACAGTTCTGCTATGCAGTAATAGTCGATTCAGACATGAGGCACAATATTATGTTTGTTAATTGACCAACTCTACGTGATGTCTTTTATAAAATCCACCTCACCATAACAGTATTTTACACGCTTTAGGCTCATGTACTTTCAGCTAATGTTATACTGTTAATTGCTATAAAGCGCTGTTGAAAGTGAAAAAATATCTACCAACAAAGTTCTTGCAGTTTTTGGCCAAAACATAAACAATATATTCCAGGTCATGAATAAAATTTTCAAACGGTCGAACACGTCATATCCGGTGACACCAAATTCATAGAATGCTGAGACAAATTGAAAATATCAGCGCGTTTGCGTGCTCATTCCTAAAGGATTATCAGCAAAAGCCGTCCTGATGAACACTTTGGACTGCTGCGATACCACAATAGAAGGATTTCTTCATGGCTTATTATCTTCAGGATTAAGAGTTCTGCAATATTTTTTTTATAATGGTAGCTAACTCCCTCCCCATACACTCACCATCCTGGATTTCTATTGGTCTTTTCCATATCGGAGACCAAGTTTGTGTCCCTGACCCATAAGGGGTATTTCCTTTCAACTTTTTCACTCCGTTGAAAAGTCTTCATATCATCTAAAACGGCTTGACGACCAAGGGAATGAGAGGTCTTCATGTCACCTAACGGCTTGACGACCAAGGGAATGAGAGGTCTTCATGTCACCTAACGGCTTGACGACCAAGGGAATGAGAGGTCTTCATGTCACCTAAAACGGCTTGACGACCAAGGGAATGAGAGGAAATTATTATAAAAGACTGGAATGTATTGCTTCGTTTTTTTGTTGTTATATCGCTTTCTTTATTTATTCAAGTGTTATCAGCACGCGAGAAGTGCGACGTCCAAGCTCGTTCTGCAGCATATCGTTTTAGATTAGGGGGTAATGCCCGGGGGTACTATAATGCCCGGGGGTACTATAATGCCCGGGGATAATGCCCGATGCTGACAGTAGTCAGGGCAGAAATAGACGCAACGTGTTATTTGTTCTTTTTAACTTGATTTGATACTTGGAATACCATGTTTATAAGGATTTTTGGTTGCAGAATGGCGCCACAGTTAAGTAATCGCGTCAACCAAACTATCAAAGACAGACGGTCACATCTGAGAAAGCGAAGAACAAAATGGCTGAATGTGAAGAATGTCAACAACGAGACGGTTGTCGGTGAGTCGCAGTTTAAAGGTATTAGGTGCCAATGTAATCTTCAGTAATTCAAAAAACATACAAAGCAAGTGATTGATTGCTAGTTCTTCTCTGTCAGCCGTTATTTGGCTTATTCCCCGCACGTCTCTAGGAGAGACCTGGAAACGATCCAAATATCGGCTGAGAGAGAGAAGAGAATTTGATTGCAATCACATTTAGTAAACTAACCAATTACAACGAAAATCAAACACACATACACCGTGGCTATACCCTAAGATGTCGTGCGCTAACCCCTATATACAGTCATTGTGATGTCATGATATTCTATTATGACGTCACTGTCGCGCGATCCATGAAGTTGGCTATTGTTATGTAATCTTCCGATGGAGGTGAAAGGGTGTGTTCGAGTGTGTTTGATCAAAGATTCGATTCTTGGCAACCAATGGCTGGTGACGAAGACAATCATCAAGTTCGCACAGCAACGTTAGATGACGGAGTTATTATTGGTGTTGCACACCTCAGCCAGCTCGGTAGGCATTTCTCTTTATTTCACTGTGCTATTCGAGTAATCATATTCTCACAATGATTGTGAGTATTATATTTAAATGACTCTCTCTGGAGCAATCGAGAAACTAGTGAAAACCATCAAACCGACTCCATGAAATACTTACAAATCGTCGATATTGTGACAATAGATGCGCAAGACGCAGTAACGTTTTTCAACGAAATGTCTGGGCGTTGTCGTGAAATGTTGTTCTTTCGCACATTTTTATATAGTTATTAGAAATGGGAATGGGAGACATCAGGGAATGCGATGACCAGCGTGTTTTATACTGTTCCTGACTTACTTAAGGGATTTGGTTTCGAATCAAAAAGTGACTAAAAAAACCGCGATACCCCTTGTCCACAGTGATGTATTCTTATATTGTTCTCTGACCACTAAACATCCAAAAATGCATCTAAAACTATAATATGATAGTAGTCCATGATAAAAAAAAATACTGACTGTATGTTTTGTCGACTAGCTCACTCGTTACTATATTTGAATCTCAGAAATGTTCAGATGTTGGTTTATTGTACTCGTAAGGTCGAGGGTTCGATTTCATCGGATGTTCATAATTAATTCTTGGCACTCAAATGAAAAAGTCTGCCTGAAATACGCTTTGATTTAGTTTAAAAAATCTTCATCATTTATAAAGCCGAAAGAATCTTTCAAAAACAAATCTAGTATGTTCCGTATTTATCAATTTAGTATTTTTATCGATGTGTTTTTACGGGACATAATGCACTTAGTCACAGGCATACTACCACATGATCTCTCCTGACTTTCACATCCACCATCAAGGAAGTTTGCTATTGGATTTTCCGGTCTTCCTTATAAGGGGATCAAAATAAGTGGACTTTGGTCTTCTTCTTCTCCGGTTCCCATGCGTGGGTTCCTAGAGAACTAGTCTGAGTATATTTAGTTCTGTGCAACAAAAGTACGGACCAGAAAGTTAAAGTCTACGTAAAGCGGTTTTGTTACTGACTATTCAAATAGTTATATCTTCGGTAAATCGGTGACTGTTACCTTCAATAGTGCTACGTTTCTGCATAAACATCATGTGCTTCATATGCCGATAGACTTTGAGTTGCTTTGAATATAACCCAAGTTATGTAAGAACAGGATTACGTCTTTGTACATTATACCTTGACATAAGTGAACTAAACAKGGTGAAACTCAGCCGCGGACTTTAGACTGGTCAGTCAGAAGTKACCAAAATAAACTGGATCACGTCTCTACTGATTCCAGTCCTCTTTCATTTCCTTATGTAACCATGGTAACGTTGAGCAACAGGTTGTAAATCAAAAATATCTTCGTTAAAACGTGAAATGTAGAAATCTTATATAACTGGCTAATAGTTCTCAGTACATGGGCTATATAGTACGATGGGTAGTAAAAGGAACACTAAAATCCATCCACGCCCCAACGTACATCATCTGCTTTGAGCAAAACCTGTAAAATGCTATCACCTGCTAGCCAATCAGATGGCGTACTTTCAGATGATTGTCAGGTTGATTTGCATACAGTAAAACACAGTTTTTTATCAAACAACAACAATACTGGATGGTTGGTTTCAAAGGATGTTTGCTGATAAAMGTGTTTTAGCGAAAATATCACAAGTATAGTTCCACAGAAAAAAAAGGAGTTGCTTAGAAAGGTAACCTTGTTTTTTCCATTGTATGCGTCATTCCGTTATACACTCTAAAACCGTTTTTCATATACATTGTTCTGTATAAATTCTCCTTTACAGTTTTTTTTTACTTTCAACAGTTTAAATCTTTCATATTTCATAGTTCTAGGAMTATATATGTTGTATGTTGTTAATATCCAGTTTATTTTATTTAGTAGCGGTTTGTTGAAAATGCCGAAAAACCGGTAGCAATAACTAAATTTGCCGGTGCGTTTTCTAAACACATAGAACTTTTTTTGTTAAAACATTAAATAAAAATGACTACAAGAAGTTAACTTGCCTTTTAATAATCTAAATTCSGCATTTTCAACAAAGAGTGATAACATATGTGATTTAAGACGGCTTTATAACTAGAGCGCGTGAGTACTCCAAGTGTTGGCTGTTGAAAATCGTTTATTATGTATTTATTGACTATTTTTAGTGTAAAAGTATCCTTACTTATAAATTAATTGTATATAACTAAATTAAAAARGCCAAGCTGCTTAATTTTATCAACTTTTAAAGCAACTTTGTCTTTATAAATATAGTCCATTTCTTTAAATTATTGTTAATTAATAACCTTGTAGTTTGTTACGGATTTTCACCGGTTGCGTTAAACCACGATATCGCGCACGACATCACGAAGGGTATAACTACATATGAAAACTTCCGTTCTTCAAACGAAAGAAAACTCAAGATGTCCACCTTCACACCACACAACAAACTATCACACATTACAACATTAGTGTTTTTTTTTGGAGAATATCAATAGACYCTTTGCCAAAATGGACGCCRCTCATCRGCATAATATTTCGTTTCACCTCTAGACAAAATAAAACACGAAATACTCAAGAGTGAAAGGTTTTCAAAAGCTCAGTGGGCTCCATTGATATAGATTTATATAATCACAGAAAAAGTATGTTTGCAGCACAGTTTATATTACCAGACATGCATTTCTATCAACTCTGCGGTTTTTTTTATATGATTTTCTAATTGAAGCATATTCTGTAGTATTTCAGGGGTTATTTTGTGTTTGGTTGAAAACAATTTATGATAATGAGTGACGGACATTTTGGCAAAGGATCTGTCTATTCATTTCTTCAACTATAGATTGCCTTTTTCAAGACTAAATGTTAAGAATCAAACGCTGAATCTCACATGTGACGAATCCAAGTCCAATAATGATTCCAAATTTTATTTTCGTTTCTTATTGAATTGAATGGATGTTAGGTTCGGCGTGTAACACGAGCCTGAGTCGAGTGTATATGTTGTTTTGTTATCCAGTCTCCAGCTCAAGACAACACACTATGAACAGACTGAGTCTAATCAGTAAAAGTGACCGTGACAGTTTTATWCAACTGGGACCTGGAAACGATGATTCACTGGACATCAAATTCGAAGACCCGTGGGTACCCCGGGTAGTGGCGAACAAATGTGTTAAACAACATTCGTACTACGGTAATTCAAAAACTCTTTAATAATCACGACCATTTGCACCMATGATATGGCACAAAACGGTCACGTGGATGATTGCTAAAAAGGTGGCTGTTGGCAGCATTATCACTATCACTAGCACTATCACAGCAGAATCATAAGCACTATCTGCATGAGGTCTAGACGCGTCGATTTTCTGTCATCATTATTTCACACCATGCAAGATATAGCCGTTACCTTATGTCAGGATACATGTCCATGATTTCTGTATCAGTATTACATAAATAATCTCTCTTCAGTTTTCATGCCTAATATTATGTATTTCATTCGCTCCATTATTTTCCTCCAAATCAAATAAATTAGAGACTCTTTCTCAGTATTTTTGCACACTTCCATTACACGTTGGTCACTCCAGAAATTTAGCGATTTTTATACTTTCTTGGCGCTATTTTTGAAGTAATYCAATTAGTACGTGAAAATGGCTCGTTCATGTATAGTTGTTGAAGCTATGTAATAAGCTTGCAGGTCGTTTTTTATCAGGTCTAAATCAACTCGGCTACGCCTCGTGGYTTTAACTCATGCTTGTTTATTGTACAGCACATAACACTGAGAGGAAAATTGAAAAGAAACGTAAACAAGASGAATTCATACTTCTCGAAAATCACATGAATCATATTGCGTTGTTCTTTCTCAGTATTGTAATAAACTCATAAAATACATATCATTATTCCTCAGATCTCCTTCAAACTTCGGATGATACTCCAGACCCGCTGGCCGAAAGTACTGCTGTTGATGATGTTGAATTCAGATCATATAAACGACGTTACTGGATGTTGTTTTTATTTGCTTTAGTCGCGTTTAGTCAGTACTGTGCATGGAATACATACGGGCCTATAGCAACTACTGCTAAATCAGTATTTAATTGGTCTAATACCGAGATAGCAATACTTGCCAGTATGGACCCTATCACCTATCTATTGACTATGATGTTCTTTTCGTGGATGATGGACGTCAAGGGACTGAGGACGAGYATACTAGTATCGACCGCGTTTATGTTTGTAGGGACTGGGCTTAGGTGTGTGACATCGGATTCGCGATATGCTATATGGTGAGTATATGAATGCTTCATGTGTCTTTCTATTCACCTGTGGGAATGCCCTTCAAATCCAATGTCCATATTGGATTTCATGGGTGGATTCTGGGGTGGGGGAGGGGGTTGGGGGGGATACATCTATAAATCTGAATTATATGAATATGAATGTGTGTTTCTAGAGCGGATTTCGTATGAGTGGGACACCGTTACCGCACGGTTACYKCACAGTTACCGGACCTGGCCTGCACAAATTTACTTACAGTACGATTACGGACACAGTACAGTACCGTCCGTTTCCTACTCATACGAAATCCGCTCTATATGTATTTAAGCAGGACTTTCCCAAAAGGGAATGGTAGGCACCGGCCCCCTGTCACCCTCCTTGGATCCGASCCTGTTTTTTTCTTGTTTTCATATGAGATGYACTATCCTCTAGGTCAATGGGTGGTGGTCAGTTACTTAATGGGTTGGCAGGACCTGTCACTCAGGCAGGACCACCATTACTGTCAGCCCATTGGTTTCCATCCCATCARCGTACTACAGCCACCGCGGTCGCTGCGCTTTGTGGTTCATTGGGCGTGGCATTGTCGTTTCTTATAGGTCCTGGGTTTGTTAGTGATGTTAAGACAGAATTAGACCTGCTTCGCCCTAAACCTGTKAACTATTCGGYTAATGTTAGGTAAGAAATCGGTGGAATATGATTGGATGGGTAAATGATTGCATGAATGAATAAATGGATGWATGATTGATTGAACTAATGAAATCATCGAAAAAAAAGAAATGAAGTGTTAAATATCATTGTAATAGGATTTGTTTAATTCTAGTTTTGTACTTGAAAAATATGCAGACACTTCGCTTCAATTGAAAGGTAAGCTGGTCGCGATCTTYATTGGCTCACTTGAGYTCACGTTCAGTGGCCTAAATACATATAMAGTTKCTAATGTGAAGGGAACKTCTTACAATTTAACAATATTACTATTATTTTGATTTCAGATTCMGTGTACATGGACTCTAAGCATTATTGGCCGTTAAATCAACTCGATATCAYYTTAAAAGACAACCCCATYACTAACGTATCGCCAGTCTACTGGAGRACCGAGGTCATGGCTTCCGTCAGTGACGTCATAGATGGWCATAAAGGTCATGTCCTKGGAAGAACTCGTRTTGGACATGGCGTTGTAAATGAAAGTATTTTAACCAATGGACAAGATGCCTGGTTAAACCTGGGTAGTTTTACTAGCACTTGTCTTAGTGATCCATCTTTRTGTGATAATGGATTAACAGTGTCATTATGGATCAAATATCACGTAATGGATCAGCCAATCCAGTACTTCCTGGGTACGAGTGGGACTGAGGCGGGTTATCGTGGTTTTCTTGTCTATCAAGACTATCGTAAAGACMCTCGAGATCACTTGACCATCAAAGTAGAAAACTCCGAATTGCTATGGGAACATAGCTTTACCGCACCACGTGATACGTGGTTGCACGTGATGTTCACGTGGGATGAACGTGACGGATTGGTTGTCTATCGTAATGGTAGTTTAGTTGGTATAGAGAGGAAAGCGAGGAAGGCATATCCYATCGACCCCTACTACACATTTTTAACGGTCGGTCGACCTAATAATAAATACGTCTTTTCTAATGCTTCGTTTGACGAGATAGCAGTGTGGTATCAGAGACTACAACCAGTACAAATACAATCGATATATAATCGGTTAATCAATAAAACTCCGAGAGATGAGAGGAAATTTTACGAAAAAGGTATGTATTATGCTATTTTAGATTTTTCATGTTTAATGGCGAGGCTTATTCTCTTTTTCATYTATAACTATGACATTTTTTTCAGCCAAAGAAGACTTGATTAACAAAGGTAGACATGAAATCATGACGCTCCTTTACATAGGTTAGTATATCTTAAAAACAGCCTCGTTCACCACCAATCTTTCACAGTCCCTGGCGGCCTTTGAAGATAGGATTTCAATTCCATAAACTATTTGTTATGTATCATTTTTTTTCTCAAGTAGCCGGCCATGATGAAACATTTGATGCCTGATAACGCACAGTGTTCTCCAACATTGGTGTGATTCCCACAAACCGCCATTCATATCAACGATTCGAGTAAGAGGACATAGTGGATATATTCACAGATGTTTTTAATATTTTTGCGTCGTCAGAGTTTGGTGTCATCACATTGATGTTCCTAGCTGTCGTCATCTACTTTCCTGACAAACCACCTACACCACCCAGCCGGTCAGCAGACATTAAGAGAGAAGATTTCTCGGTTGGTTTTAAACAAATCCTCAGGTAAACTGCCCATGAGAATTAATGAACTTTATTAATAATAAATAAATAACTGATGTTTGATTATATCATAGAAATCCACAGTTTTGGACTCTTGGTTTTGTGTACGGCGTTACTACAGGTAAAGTTCTCTTTTCAATCAAATCCGCGATATTCCTTGGTAGTTATGTCAGCATATATTATATCAAGACTGTGGACTCGAACCCATTACTTTTCAGTTACTTTTTTGTTTCCTTTTCCTGGCTACATACACTGACAAAAGACCGCTAGTTTTGAAAACAAGTACCCATAGCCTGTTTAACCTAGTTGTTGTTGTTGGTGTCATTCACTCTCGATTGTTGGAATATGCATTATCTCAATAGGTGTCTACAGTGGCTGGGGTGCATCATTAGCTGTCAATCTAGAGACTTTCGACATTACCCAGGTATTGTAGAATATTTTAATTAGAATTATCACAATAAATGTGCTACCGAAGTTTGGATTCGCATTTGGATTTTGCCATTTCATAATTTTAAAASTTTATGTTTTGAATGTGACCAGGGTAAAGCTGCCTGGATTGGTTTTTATGCTACTTTGGCTGGAATTGGTGCTGGTTTGATACTCGCAAGGTGTGCTTCATATTTTTAACGTAACACGCTTCATAACTTGCGTCAAAATGCTCGACGAACTGTCCTTGATTGATAGTTAATACTCAACGTGTGTTGACTTGATATTCTCACTATTTCCCTTGATGCAGTACTCGTCCTTTCCCTAGTTAATGATGTAACGCTCGCCCTGTATTGACGT